ACTTATCTTACAGAAAATATTGGCATATATTTTGTTGTTTTTATTAAGTATATGTTTAATATGTTTCAATTTTGCCATCTTTCCATTAATTATATTAATTATATTAGTGATCATTAAGAAAATACATCTTTTATATTTATTCAGAGGGGGTGTACTCATTTATGCTGTGCACTGTACATGCATACACACACACACACACACATGCGCGCGCACAAATATTAATGTAGTTTGTGAGTGTAGGGTAGGGAGATTGACTCTAATATATTGTTTCTGTATCTATAATCAACATCTTTAAATGTTTATATTTTTATAGCATTTTTTAATTCGATTGTCAATTGCATTGCTTCATGGAATTGTAGTTTTTTCCCCCTTCATTTTAACCTTTGACCTCAGTTGTGTAATTTAAAAATACTTTTCAAGTTTGTGGTGTTGTGATTTACCTTGTAGCTGATTGGGTAGCTGGCTGGATCTGGTTGAAAATGAATGGGACAAATAGGCTGCTACTTGTTGCTAAAAAAGTGGGTGGGCAATGTTACATCCTATAGAGAGAGTAGTATTCTTAAATTATTAAAAAAAAACATATAGAGCAGTTTAAAATAATAAAGAACATTAAACATTTAAAGAACAAAAATAATTCTAAACATTTCAGGTGAAATGTGTAATTTCTGAACCACTAATATAACCAAACAGAATAGAGATGTTAAGTCATGAGGTTAATTTGTAGGCTAAGCCAGAAGGCTAATTCACCATGTGTTCCCAGTGGGTTTTTAGAATGGTGGTTCTGAGTAAATTAAGGTCTCATTACTTGAATAGACTTTGACATTTTGTTCTGCAACATAAAGTGCACTGTCATTCCTCAAACATGAGTTTTGAAGCTTTTATTTTCATTGTCAGTACTGGAAAAACATGATACATTCTTTTTGTCTCACTTTCTTGCTAAATGTTCAGGCAGCATCTGGCTATACTGAACAATACTTTAAATTTACCCACTTAAATTTCACACCCACTTTAAAATGTGCATGTTTTGAATCATATAGATTCCAGATCCCTTTATTTTCAAAAGCAAAATATTGTTATCTCCTCAGAGAAGCTGTTGATAACATCAGCAGATATCCCTCACACACAATCTGCAGGTAACGTAAGGTAACATGTTTTGGCTATGGTTTGCAGTATCTGTGTCCCTTCTCTGTGCTGTAAGGGGTTCAGGTATCACCCACACAATACACACAACTGGGCTGTATATCAGCACGGAAAGACGAGAAGTTTGTTTGCCCACTGCTCTCCAGGGCCTCTGGCAGCCGTCTGGAAGGTGCATTTGCAAAAAAGCAAAGTAACTGAAACCATGAAATGCTGAAAAAATACTTAAAGGGGTCATATGATGTTGCTAAAAAGAACATTATTTTGTGTATTTGGTGTAATGAAATGTGTACTATGTAATTTCTGCACCACCAGCATTACCAAAAATTTACTCGAATGAATAGAGAGTCTCCACAACAGTTAGCAATAGACTGAAGCTTGAACCATGCATTGTAAATTCGGCCTAGGTGGTTGCTGAGGTTTTTTGGGTGGTTGCTTGATTGTTACTTACTGTCCAAAGTAAAAAGTAATAGTCATCCCAGCCGAACGCATAGTCACTGGAATAAAGTGCCAGCTGAACACCAGACTCACTGGAAAAAATGTGTTGGTGACATTTCTTCAAAATATTACAATTCTTAGCTTGTGTCACTTAAGAGAAATGTTCAATGGCCATTCAGTTTTATCTGAAAAAGATAAACATGAATTTTTTATTACGTTGGTTGTTTTACATATCGCAGCAATTTAAAAATTAAAGGTCTGGTGAGAGGCTACCCTACCCTAAACCTAACTGATATTAACAAAAGCAAATGTGAGAGAAAATGACATATTCTGAAGCAACCATGCCATTCTAGCTCCTGCAAGTCTTTGAGCTTTTTTATCGTGACTTATCTTTCACAGGACGGTACCCAAGTGCTCCACATCAAGTTCAGTGCTGCACTAGGTGAGCTACTGAGCAAGTTTACTATACAGAAAAGCAAAACATATGGAATGGATTTTGCGATGCAAATATATTATTTAACAAATCATGCACTCTTTTGAGGCAAGTCTTTTGAGGCTTATTGTGCAAGGGGCTGCGTGAAAATAAGTCTTTATTCATATTATTAATCGATAATCTTCCCCTGTAATCATAATTTGTGTGAAAAGAAATAAAAGTTATTGGTGTTTTACTGCCACTAGTGTTCATTGCAGCTGGAAACTGCAGTGAATTGTTTGTATAGGTACTTTTTTGGAGTTTAGTAAAATTGTGGGAAAAGGTCCTTTTCCTAATAAGCCTATGTAGGTAATATTAATAGTGTTTCTTGCCCTAGCAAACATGGCTAACTGTGCCATCAGATAATTGATGCTCTGTTTGCTTTGTGGTGTTTTTATGTCAAGAAGTTGGCAGCTGTTCTACTCTCATATTCCACCTCTCCCCCCCCCCCTCACACTTTATCAGAAACTTGTCTCCCATGTGTGCAGACGTGTAAATGCGCACTTTGTGTTAATTAAATTGCATGTGTAGTGTTCCATGTTTTTTAGCGCTATGATGGTTGCACATAGACACCCCTCCTTCCTAGGAGCCTCCGGCAACATGCCGTTGAAGGTGCCGGTGGGATTTGTGGGGCTATACATAGGCTCTCAGGCAAGATGCTAGTTTGTTTGGCTCACGATAGGGTCTGGAAAATGACGGCCGCTGTTTTTGTTATGCTTCTGATGTGCTGCTTTTGTTTTCTGCCTCTTGTACAGAGCCGCTGAGGTTTAAATCTTAAGGAGATGGAACTTGGGCTTCTGCCCAAAGGTGAACGTTTCAAACTCTGCCCCTATAGCTGTGACCGGTTTGCCGTGAGTCCCCGTACCCCCTTCTAATGGTGAGTTGACTTTCTCTATCTTTATTGGAAAAACAGGTTGTACAGTGAGGAATCAAGAATAAATCCCACTGTTTCTGTTTAGTGAAGTTTTGTAGATTGGTTAACCGATCACTTCCAAGGTTTTACTGCATGAGACAATTGCTTGCTATGAATATTTCTGGTAAAGTTTGCAATCAACCAGGTAAAATGTCAAACTGTCAACCTTGATGTTCTTATCACATCTTAACCAGGTGTGAAGTTTCCAGCGACAAATAATTTGTCCATCCGCATTGGAAGTGAAAAGGACTGTTGAGTACAGTTGCTTGCATCATAAAGCAAGATTTTGGAGCAAAATTTCATTGTGGGTGGGACTATCCAGTATGATACAGAGTAACTGCAAAATATCCTACCACTTGTCGCAGCGGCTGCTGCTGCTGCTTGGGACAAAAACTCAAGAGCGATCATTTTTATAGCTTTTTGCCTTATTGCGCCAAACGTGGTTAGGATGGTTACATGCTAAAAGTCCCAACATTTATGCATCAGTCAAACCCAATAGCCTCAGAGAAACTGTTACATATCAAAATGTTGAATAGCAGTTGGTACAAATTAAAAAAAAAATTTAAGTGGAAAAACTTTACCTTGGCTCTGTATGATTGCCGCCTCATCAATTAACCAAAACATGGTTGTAATCTGCAGAAGCCATTTAAATTTACATTCTCCTCCATCCAAAGAAATTGTTCTGCATGCAGCCAACAAATAGTAACAGCTCATCTGACAGCAACACTGGCAAAGACAAAAGCAGCTACCATGATTGCATATGTGTCACAGTTTTACAATCCTTGTATGGTTCCATAACTATTAAACGGCGTATGCCATTGCCAACCTATGTAGCTGTTGTTCAAATATTTTTTTTTTATTTTTTACTTGTGTAGACGAGAATATCATAGAATATTATAGAGACTCTCATAGGCAGCTTTTGACATAATTCAGATTCTTGCCATGATAGGAATCTGAATTGGAACTATTTGGGGGAAAAGGGAAATATATCATGAAATGCCTGGGTCATATTCCAATAGAGAGAGAAAAAACGAAGCCTACTTCAATGCAAAAACACTTCAGTAATTGTAAACATCTAGTTTATTTATTCATTTATTTATTGCCGATAATTCTGATTTTTTTGAATGCTTTTTGCTTGGTTTCTTAACTCAGGATTTCGCTTCATTTTTTGCATGCACTCTAACTTTTGAAGTAACACAAAAAGTTGTTATACTCCTTGACAAAGAGCGTTTTGTACCCTCCCTGACCCCTTAGTTTGCAAAAACGAGGCCTTGTTCTCTGTCCGAGAAGCACGTTGTTGCTGTGTCCGCTCTGGGCCCATCTAATTATCCTACTGGCTGTCCATCCGTGAAATAGGCATTACACTGTGAAACTGAGCCAGTGTAGCTTTCCTTTGAACAATCGTGATAGCTTAGCAACAATGTGGCAGCCTATAATGACCATAACAACAGCAAGGGCACACCAGAAGATTATGGGGGATTATTACCTTTGATCTGCTCCAAAACAGGATGGGCAGAGAGTTGGGGGAGTTATTAGGAACCAGGCAAGTTTATTCTATATGCTCTGTCCTTTGATCTGCTCCAAAACAGGATGGGCAGAGAGTTGGGGGAGTTATTAGGAACCAGGCAAGTTTATTCTATATGCTCTGTCCTTTGATCTGCTCCAAAACAGGATGGGCAGAGAGTTGGGGGAGTTATTAGGAACCAGGCAAGTTTATTCTATATGCTCTGTCCTTTGATCTGCTCCAAAACAGGATGGGCAGAGAGTTGGGGGAGTTATTAGGAACCAGGCAAGTTTATTCTATATGCTCTTTCCTTTTTTCTAGACATAGCTGTTAAGGGAAGATTGTTATTTCTTAAAGTAGAGGCAGAGAGAACAAAATGTAGCGATTAAAAAAGGAAGGAAAAAAAAAACTCTCATCAAAGTGTGGAGTCGGGAGCAGGGCGCAATGGACTCTGTTCAATGTCCACTGAGTCATGTTTTATTAAATCTTATTTGCTATTTGTGGGCTGCTGCAGTTGCAGCAGAGTTCAAAGCGTGAACTAGTGTGGGTTGTTTTTGGGACAGTAAGAAACCGACTCGGCCAGCAATCTTAACGAACAGCATTTCTCTGGACATCAGATAATCCACACTTGCCTGATATGTGCTTAGGGGTGATTAATTGTTCTTGGTTAGAGCTGCAGGCTGTCTCCACAGAGCAAGGACACAGTTCAAGGGTTCTTTAATGTTGTAGAATCCCAAATGAGCAATTTGAGTCATGCAGTTCCAGCACTGGGACCACAATGTCACTCTTACACTTTCTGGGGTGAATCCCATCAAAACTGCCATGAAATGTCCAGGTGTATTTCACAAACAAATCAAGAGCTAAAAATATGTGTTACATAAAGAACATGAAGCCTAGGTTTTTGCCTGTTGTAATGCTAATAAATAATTAGTTTGTCTGTCTATCTGTCGTTCTATCGCTCTATCTATTGTGCTATCTATCGTTCTATCGCTCTATCCATCTATATATCGTTCTATCTATTTATCGTTTTGTTGCTCTATAGCTCTATTGTTCTATCGCTCTATCTATTGTTCTATCTATCGTTCTATCGCTCTATCCATCTATCCACCTATATATCATTCTATCTATATATCGTTCTATCTATCTATCGTTCTGTCGCTCTATCGCTCTATCGTTCTATCGCTCTATCGCTCTATCTATTGTTTTATCTATTGTTCTAATTTTGGGATAAAATATTACCTGGATATTTGTTCATATGATTTACTGATTTGTATTAATTTTGTATTACTCTGTATCAACAAACATGTATCTGACTAATTAAAACAGTACGGCTAGAAACAGATGCTGTTTTAAAAAAATATTGCTGATTAAGTTTGGAACTAACAAATGGTGCATAAGGGGCATCCAAAAAGGACATCAGTTGGAACATTTTTCTTGTTTTTAACATCGGCCAACATTTAAATATTGAGTGGCTGAAGTTTTATCCGCTCCTGATGAGTTGTAGATGCAGATATCTGTGCCATGTGTTTAGAGTTGAAACAAACAGCACAGACCCTTTGAGATGTCTCATTTTAGAATACCTCATGTTGCTCCTTCTCATGCAAGACAAGCGCCGCCTGCGAACTGATCTCAAAAACTTTAAGGCAGGACATCTGTTTCAGCTGTCTGTTGCTACTAATTTATTTTTATTTTTAAGATGAGTCAGTGTGTTATTATATTAAAGGGGTCATATGATGCAATTTAATTTTTTCCTTTCTCTTTGGAGTGTTACAAGCTCTTGGTGCATAAAGAAGATCTGTAAATTTGCAAAGACTAAAGTCTCAAATCCAAAGAGATATTCTTTATAAAATTTAAGAGTCAGCCACACCTACCTAAAACGGCTCGTTCGAACATGCCCCCACATATCTACCTCACTATGTGGGAAGATTTGCATAACGCCGCCCAAATGTTCACGCAAAGAAAGAAGGCGTAACTTTTATTCTCGCTGTAGTATTGTTGCTGCTGCCGCCATGTCGTGAAGACGCTGTGTGCTTCGTTGTGAAAGCGACACTACTTTGTTTGGTCTTCCAAAAGAGGACAATATCCGCTTCGTCATGCCTAGAGCTGATCCGTGCTGGTCGCTGAGGGAATACATCAACTTAGTGCTGTGGATCGCCGGATCGGCTTTCACCATTTTCACCGCTCCTTCGTCGGATCCGCCGGGACCGCCGTTCTCGATCCCGCCGCCTCAGCTCACGCTAAGCCGGGGCTTTCGCTCACGCTAGGCCGCTGTGTTTTTCGTTGTATACTGTTCGTCGACAGTATAAGTCATTATAATCAGTAATTATGTCCCCACTGGATGCACCAAACGCCTCATTTGTAATGGGTTT